CAAACTCACAGTGATCCTCCTGCCTCAGCTTCCTGAGTGCTGGGATTACAGGCATGCGCCATCATACCTGGCTTGATCTAGTTGTAAGTAGAGGCTGCTAGTTGGGAATGGACTTGTAGCCTCTAACTACAGGATAGTTAGAAATGAGCTTGCATTTGCTGGATGTGGAGGTACACATGTGTAATTCCTGCACTCACACTCAGGAGGTTGAAGCAGGAGGTAATTTAAGACCAAGGAACTGCAACCACCAGCATTTGTACCTTTTGAAATGGCAACAAATGCTTCCTATGCAAAATGGGAGAGGCTGAATAACAATAAGATAGCTCAGCCTCTCTCATTTTGCATAGGAAGTGCCTTAGCATTTCTTAAAATGGCCTATGATAAGGGGCTGGGGATTTAGCTCAGCGGCATGGCGCCTGCCTGGCAAGCGAGAGGCCGTGAGTTTGATTCCTGGTACCAGAAAACAAAACAAAAATGGCCTATAATATAAAGTATCAATGTAGTTTAAGGTCCTTTTTAAAGGACGAAAGGTTTATTTGGCTCACAGTTTGTAGAGGTCTCAGTCCATAATCAGCTGGCTCCAAGGAAGGGTGGCATGGCAGAAGGGCATCACAGAGAACAGTTCATGGTGCCCACAAGAGAGTAAAAGCAACAAAGGAGGGAGGACATTCCTCTCCCTGTCCCTTGTACTGTATGCAGGCTACCCACCCTAAGGTGGGTGTAGCGCTCACACCCTTAATCCCAGCCAGAACTATACCAAACCAATGGTGGACTGATTTACTAATCACACACCCTTAATTCCAGCATCACACACTCTAGACTCATCGACCCCTGAAAAAGCCCTGTCTAAAACTGCATGAGGCTTTGGGGGAACATCTAGACACAAACCATAACATTCCACCCCTGCCCCCCACAAAGACTCAGAAAAAGACATTTAGCCTATCTCTAAGAGTTGCCAAAGTCCTAACCATTATTGCTGAAAAGTGTAGGTCCGAAGTCTCCTCTGAGATTTAAGGCAACTCTAAGCTGTGAGCCCCCGTATCAATGAAAAGAAAGGTAAACACTTCTAACATACAATGGCACAAGATAAACGTTGCCATTCCAAAAGGTACAAATGGAGGGATACACAGGAATGGGAGGGACCAAAGCAAGTCCAAAATCCAGCAGGGCAAACATTAAGTCCTGTAATTCCATGTACAGCATCTGAGACAATCTGTAACAAGATGTGAACTCCAAAGGGCTTGGGTGCCTCCACCCCTATGGCACTGCTAGTGGTTGCAGCTCCTGTGGCTTTTTCTGTTGGGCCTCCTCTGGTCCCTCCTTGCAATTTTCCTTGGACAGTCCACATTTCTGGTTTCTCCAGCCTTCTGGGATCTCCACTGCACCTTTAGCTTCACCCTCACAGCTTCACACACTGCCTTCTCAGGGGCACACTGCCTGGCCTCCCAGGCCTTCTTCTGAAATCTGGATGGAAGCCTTCCTGACCCCACAACTCCTCCATTCTGCATGCACCTAAAACCAGCATTATGTGGATGATGCCAGGCCTGCTGCTAGCTGGAGCAGTAGCCAGGCTTCCCTCTCTCAACCATAGGGGTCGAGTGCCTGGATTGCTGAGTACTCTGAATGTAATTCCAGGAAACAAACTCTCTAGGTTGGTGCCATTCTAGAACATGGTGCTCAGGGCCTTTCTTCTCAAAGCAGTCTTTTGCAATTTTGAGGCTGCAACGGTGGAGTTCGGCAGGTTTGTGTGATGCCCTCAGGCCATCTTTTCTATTCTCTTGTACCTTCTCAGCAACCAAGATCTTTGCTTTATCTTTGCATTCCACAGCTTTACTGGAGCTTCTTTCTGGCCAAACTGGGAACATTTTAAATCATTCTGCTGGGCTCTTTGCTCTTGAATCTCAACATAAATCTTGGTAAAATCCTCCAAAAGTAGGCATGCCACTGCTATAACATTGGACTGCCTTGACATTACTGCTCCCAGATGAATTAGTCCCCTGCCCTTAATCTCAGTTTCAGATAAAGTCTCTGGACATGGACAAAATTCGGACAAACTTTCTGTCAAAGCATAACACAAATGATCTGGAGTCCAGCAGCCAATGCAGTCCTTCTTCCCAGCGGAAACCTCCTGACCCTGATCTTTATGAGCTTTCTGGTCTTCTGAGCTCTGACCAGAATCTCCCATACAGAACAGTCTAAGGTATTTCAGCTCTACTTTTTAAGCCAGCATCTTAGTTTAAGATTCTGAGAGGGGCTGGGGATTTAGCTCAGCGGCAAAGCGCCTGCCTGGCAAGCGCAAGGTCGTGAGTTCGGTACCTGGTACCGGAGAAAAACCAAAACCAAAAAAAAAAAAAAAGATTCTGAGAGATTGTTTGAATTACTTTGTGTATAATACTTCACCCAACATTGTGAACTTGAGTGCACCAAGTTCTACCTGATGGCAAAATTCATCATATAGTCAGTTTATAATGAGATTTAGGAGTTTAATAGAATGTTAAAATACTTTTGATTTCTTTAAATAAATGTCTTACAATAAAATTGGTTGTTACAGATGCTCTAGATGGGGTAGGATACAGAAAGCTTAGCAAATTTCATCAAGGATATCTTTTTTTTTTTTTCTTTTCCGGTACTGGGAATTGAACTCACGACGTTGCACTTGCCAGGCAGGCGCTGTGCCACTGAGCTAAATCTCCAGCCCCAAGGATATCTTTTAAATAATTAAAAATAGAACCTTTTGTGATACCATGCTATGAGGATGTGTTCTTGAGTTTGGTGTTTCATTTCATCCTGTTACAATATCCTACCACCTATATGGCCTCTGTAGTTCTCTGAGCAGTTTCTTTCAATGCCATTACTACCTCGCCCTCTGTCCCTCCTCAATTTCAGGATAGCTGTTTGGACCCACCCACTGGGAGAGCAGTCTAGGTGTTGGAACAGGAGCCCAGGAAAGAAGGCAGGAGGAGGGAAGGTATCATTTCTTTCAGTATTAGCTGTGAGCCTGCAAAAGAAACTCCCTGCAAGGCTCCAGATTTTAAGTGCACCCTGATGAGTACGGACAATTGTTCAAGTGCAGAGCGAATGTAGGACTTCCCATTCTCCCACCTCCTTCCTGTAGTCCTCTCTCAAATTAGGAAGCAGTCAAACGTGACGGCCAATTGGTAGCCTGAACGTTTCCTCCTACAGCTCACTTCTCGCCCTCACATTTGGAAATGTGGAGTAATTCTAGCTTGCTTTGGTTCCTTCTTCTGTTATTATTATTATTATTATTATTTTTGGTTTTGGTTTTTCTCCGGTACCGGGAACCGAACTCACGACCTTG